GGATTTGGTATTTTTGTACTTTGTGGTGATGATGGTGTAGAGTTGGAGGATGGAAATGGAATCAGAGGGGTCTCTTGTTCATTTGCAAGGTGTGTACTAAACCATTTTTGTTATGAAGAATGTTTTTTCAAGCTTGCTTAGTGGTTTTTGTATATGATTTACCATTGACTTGAATGCTCTCTGGTAATCCACAACACAAGTGACTCTTGTTCATTTGTATCTCTTTGTTTGGTACATGAAGACTCTCATTCTATGTTCTGGTATGTATTTGTAGGCTCGACACAAACTTGTATAAATATTTCTGTTTCCACTGACTAGGCCTCTTCATCAGCCAGACAAGAGAGATATACATAACTGAGTGATGCACACGTCCCGAGTGTTCCACGTTCAATGGCAGATACAAAAAGTGTCTAGAATCTCTTGCTGGCGACCTTAATCAATCTGGATAAAAAACAGCAGGAACAGAGAGCAGAATCGTAGAGCTGATACGACTTCCAGAGGTTAGCTAGTCTCGTTAAAATTGTAAATGCTATGTCTGCTACATGAGTTTGCATGTAACTTTTCTTTTCTTGATCAATCTCGGGGGTTGCTAAAAGCTCGCTGGCCAGTAGTCAAAAGAAATTAAGGCAGAGCTTACCAAGTCATATGAAGCCAGCATAGCATTACACAGTTGCAAAAAAAGGATTTGTCAGCTTCTAAAAGTGAAGTGACGAGCATGGTTGAAGCACAGATGTTTCTGTGAGTATTTCTTCTCTTTTGTGTTTGTTCATCAAATAAAATGCTTCAGATTCTCACACATGTTTCATGTTTCTCTCAATTGATGGAATCCATTCCTTCTTGGAGGCATATTTGATCATGTATGAGTTCCACAACTACATACTCATTTTGGATTCCGCAGCTAGTTGCAAACGTATTATATATAGGGCATCCGTTGTATGTTTTTGGTTGCCCAAAGAAGTCCATTCGCGTAGAGCCCGGTGCAGAAGATTTGATCATCATGTAAACAGAAGCAAGGAATCACCATTGATCTCAGACATGGTACCACTGACCGACATATATTCCACTCATGATGCTTACGAAGATGGCTAGATATAAAGATGGATTGCCCAACTTGTTTTGGTTTCCTTAGAAATCGTCTATTAACTCCACCCACATTAATTGCAGGTAATCCCAAACCTCTAGTTTTATGTTCTTGGGTTCTGCTTGAATGGATAGTCTCTAAACAGACTTGCTGCTTAGCTTCTTTGGTTTCAGGTCTTGGGAATATATTTAGTGAGGTACAAGGCTGTCGAGACCTCGAAATAGACATTGTGTAATAATACCAATTTCTTCAATTGCCTTTTTTGGTCATTCTTTCACCAAAATATATCAACACGAATTTTCTTAGTCACAATTTTTTCAAGTTTATTTCTGAATATGAACGCACCAAAATATTATTTCCGGCTACACCTTTCGTTTCTTCTCTATAATACCTCGCCCACTTTTATTACGAGTTTGGACATCAAGTAATTTGTTAGTATCGAATGTACATGAAACACCACTTGAAAATACAAAGTGTGCCATATGGATGTGTTGGCCGCAATTTGAAGACCCTTTAACAAAAAATGTGTTAGCTACAAACAAATTGAGCGTCAATT